CTTGTCTACACACATAGACTGTCAGCTCATACATTGTTGTCTACACACATATACTGTCAGCTCATACATTCTTGTCTACACACATAGACTGTCAGCTCATACATTCTTGTCTACACACATATACTGTCAGCTGAGACATTCTTGTCTACACACATATACTGTCAGCTCATACATTCTTGTCTACACACATATACTGTCAGCTGAGACATTGTTGTCTACACACATATAGACTGTCAGCTCATTCATTCTTGTCTACACACATATACTGTCAGCTGAGACATTGTTGTCTACACACATATAGACTGTCAGCTCATACATTCTTGTCTACACACATATACTGTCAGCTCATACATTCTTGTCTACACACATATACTGTCAGCTGATACATTGTTGTCTACACACATATAGACTGTCAGCTCATACATTCTTGTCTACACACATATAGACTGTCAGCTCATACATTCTTGTCTACACACATATAGACTGTCACCTCATACATTCTTGTCTACACACATATACTGTCAGCTGAGACATTGTTGTCTACACACATATAGACTGTCAGCTCATAAATTCTTGTCTACACACATATACTGTCAGCTGAGACATTCTTGTCTACACACATATAGACTGTCAGCTCATACATTCTTGTCTACACACATATACTGTCAGCTCATACATTCTTGTCTACACACATATACTGTCAGCTAAGACATTCTTGTCTACACACATATACTGTCAGCTCATACATTCTTGTCTACACACATATACTGTCAGCTAAGACATTCTTGTCTACACACATATAGACTGTCAGCTCATACATTCTTGTCTACACACATATACTGTCAGCTAAGACATTCTTGTCTACACACATATAGACTGTCAGCTCATACATTTTTGTCTACACACATATATACTGTCAGCTAAGACATTCTTGTCTACACACATATAGACTGTCAGCTCATACATTCTTGTCTACACACATATACTGTCAGCTAAGACATTCTTGTCTACACACATATAGACTGTCAGCTCATACATTTTTGTTTACACACATATATACTGTCAGCTCAGACATTCTTGTCTACACACATATATACTGTCAGCTGAGACATTTCTGTCTACACATATACTGTCAGCTGAGACATTCTTGTCTACACACATTTACTGTCAGCTCATACATTCTTGTCTACACACATATATACTGTCAGCTGAGACATTTCTGTCTACACATATACTGTCAGCTGAGACATTCTTGTCTACACACATATACTGTCAGCTCATACATTCTTGTCTACACACATATACTGTCAGCTGAGACATTGTTGTCTACACACATATATACTGTCAGCTCATACATTCTTGTCTACACACATATACTGTCAGCTGAGACATTCTTGTCTACACACATATACTGTCAGCTCATACATTCTTGTCTACACACATATACTGTCAGCTGAGACATTGTTGTCTACACACATATACTGTCAGCTCACACATTCTTGTCTACACACATATACTGTCAGCTGAGACATTCTTGTCTACACACATATACTGTCAGCTCATACATTCTTGTCTACACACATATACTGTCAGCTGAGACATTGTTGTCTACACACATATATACTGTCAGCTCATACATTCTTGTCTACACACATATACTGTCAGCTGAGACATTGTTGTCTACACACATATACTGTCAGCTCACACATTCTTGTCTACACACAAATACTGTCAGCTCATACATTCTTGTCTACACACAAATACTGTCAGCTCACACATTCTTGTCTACACACATATACTGTCAGCTGAGACATTCTTGTCTACACACATATACTGTCAGCTCACACATTGTTGTCTACACACAAATACTGTCAGCTCACACATTCTTGTCTACACACATAGACTGTCAGCTGAGACATTCTTGTCTACACACATATACTGTCAGCTGAGACATTGTTGTCTACACACATATACTGTCAGCTCACACATTGTTGTCTACACACATATACTGTCAGCTCATACATTCTTGTCTACACACATATACTGTCAGCTGAGACATTGTTGTCTACACACATATACTGTCAGCTGAGACATTCTTGTCTACACACATATACTGTCAGCTGAGACATTCTTGTCTACACACAAATACTGTCAGCTCATACATTCTTGTCTACACACATATACTGTCAGCTCATACATTCTTGTCTACACACAAATACTGTCAGCTCACACATTCTTGTCTACACACATATACTGTCAGCTCACACATTCTTGTCTACACACATATACTGTCAGCTCACACATTCTTGTCTACACACATATACTGTCAGCTCACACATTCTTGTCTACACACAAATACTGTCAGCTCATACATTCTTGTCTACACACAAATACTGTCAGCTCATACATTCTTGTCTACACACAAATACTGTCAGCTCATACATTCTTGTCTACACACAAATACTGTCAGCTCATACATTCTTGTCTACACACATATACTGTCAGCTCACACATTCTTGTCTACACACATATACTGTCAGCTCACACATTCTTGTCTACACACATATACTGTCAGCTCACACATTCTTGTCTACACACAAATACTGTCAGCTCACACATTCTTGTCTACACACATATACTGTCAGCTGAGACATTCTTGTCTACACACATATACTGTCAGCTCACACATTCTTGTCTACACACATATACTGTCAGCTCACACATTCTTGTCTACACACATATACTGTCAGCTCACACATTCTTGTCTACACACATATACTGTCAGCTCATACATTCTTGTCTACACACATATACTCTCAACTCATACATTCTTGTCTACACACATATAGACTGTCAGCTGAGACATTCTTGTCTACACACATATACTGTCAGCTGAGACATTCTTGTCTACACACATATACTGTCAGCTGACACATTCTTGTCTACACACATATACTGTCAGCTGAGACATTCTTGTCTACACACAAATACTGTCAGCTGAGACATTCTTGTCTACACACATATACTGTCAGCTGACACATTCTTGTCTACACACATATACTGTCAGCTGAGACATTCTTGTCTACACACAAATACTGTCAGCTGAGACATTCTTGTCTACACACATATACTGTCAGCTGACACATTCTTGTCTACACACATATACTGTCAGCTGAGACATTCTTGTCTACACACAAATACTGTCAGCTGAGACATTCTTGTCTACACACATATACTGTCAGCTGACACATTCTTGTCTACACACATATACTGTCAGCTGACACATTCTTGTCTACACACATATACTGTCAGCTGAGACATTCTTGTCTACACACATATACTGTCAGCTCATACATTCTTGTCTACACACATATACTGTCAGCTGACACATTCTTGTCTACACACATATACTGTCATGTCCGCTCACGCATTCTTGTCTACACACATATACTGTCAACACAGGCATTCTTGTCTACACACATATACTGTCACCTACACACATGACCCCTCTATCCACTAACTATGCGGCCCACTTTCTTTGACACGGCACTTGTTGATGGTGACTACCACTTGAGTGAACGACTGTTAAACCAACAACAGCACCACTATAAGCCGGGCACTCGTGACACTATAAGCCAGGCACTCGTGACACTATAAGTCGGGCACTCGTGACACTATAAGCCAGGCACTCGTGACACTATAAGCCAGGCACTCGTGACACTATAAGCCAGGCACTAGTGACACTATAAGCCAGGCACTCGTGACACTATAAGCCAGGCACTCGTGACACTATAAGCCAGGCACTCGTGACACTATAAGCCAGGCACTAGTGACACTATAAGCCAGGCACTCGTGACACTATAAGCCAGGCACTCGTGACACTATAAGCCAGGCACTCGTGACACTATAAGCCAGGCACTCGTGACACTATAAGCCGGGCACTCGTGACACTATAAGCCAGGCACTCGTGACACTATAAGCCAGGCACTCGTGACACTATAAGCCAGGCACTCGTGACACTATAAGCCAGGCACTCGTGACACTATAAGCCGGGCACTCGTGACACTATAAGCCGGGCACTTGTAACACTATAAGCCAGGCACTCGTGACACTATAAGCCGGGCACTCGTGACACTATAAGCCGGGCACTCGTGACACTCTAAGCCGGGCACTCGTGACACTATAAGCCGGGCACTCGTGACACTATAAGCCGGGCACTCGTGACACTATAAGCCGGGCACTCGTGACACTATAAGCCGGGCACTCGTGACACTATAAGCCAGGCACTCGTGACACTATAAGCCGGGCACTTGTAACACTATTAGCCAGGCACTCGTGACACTATAAGCCAGGCACTTGTGACACTATAAGCCGGGCACTCGTGAGACTATAAGCCAGGCACTCGTGACACTATAAGCCAGGCACTCGTGACACTATAAGCCGGGCACTCGTGACACTATAAGCCGGGCACTTGTAACAAAGTGAAACATGTCCTCTCGTAAATATTACCGTTGTCTACGAGTACTGTGATACAATACAACATGCCAAATATGATTTTATAGTGCGATAAGTCTCTTTATTGTGGTCGAAGACATAGCGACAAAGATAAGTGGTGATCGATGGCACATTGTCAAGTCGTCTTCTGCCCTTTCAATATTCACATCGACAGTCTCTCTAAAAATGGACAGTAAACCCCAGGGAACTATGACCTATGTGCCTGCTATAGATTACTCACACCCAATCGCACAGATACACATATGGGATGTGCAGTGACAATCCTCTGACGGTTATGCCTACAAGGCCCCGTCAACGACGAATCAGGGTAGATGAACTACTTTGAGAAAGACTCCAGACCTTCCGTCTGCTACCCAAGCCACTCAGTGAAACATCACGAACATTCCGGTAATCAGCCTCTAATACTTCACCATCACAAATCCACGCTGGTCAACACACACAAAGTTTCCCAGCACCTCTACGCTTAACTCTTTGAGTCCCAGGGGGTTTAGCATCCCAGGCCCAGGGGGTAGTGAAGAAAGTCATAAAATCGGCGCATCATGCGTTCATTGGGCTTCTAGGTAGGAACCTGTGAACGTATGATGCGTTCCTTGGGACTCAAAGAGTTAAGGATACCCGTCAACCAACGTGCCACAGCCGCAACTATGTCGAACCCAAACACGTGTCCGCCACCAGTCTATTCTAGAAATCACACTGTAGAATTCCTCAGTCCTACTCGGATCCACCACAGTCATTGAGACAGAATAAAACATTGCTCAAACAGTCATTGAGACAGAATAAAACATTGCTCAAACAGTCATTGAGACAGAATAAAACAATGCTCAAACACAGTCGAGGCAATCACTGGTCTCGAACAGTTTAAACTAACACGTCCACACAGGCAGGCGAACTTAAAGCTACTAACTGTCATGTCTTCACCGTGAAAACAGGAAGGGAGACGGCCATGTTATCACTGAGAAAACAGGAAGAGAGACGGTCATGTTATCACTGAGAAAACAGGAAGAGAGACGGTCATGTTATCACTGAGAAAACAGGGAGAGAGACGGTCATGTTATCACTGAGAAAACAGGAAGAGAGACGGTCATGTTATCACTGAGAAAACAGGGAGAGAGACGGTCATGTTATCACTGAGAAAACAGGGAGGGTGACGGTCACGAGAGGTCACGTTGCCAGAAACCATGTAAGAAGATGTGTGGTCAGCAGCTAAACGTTCACTCTCTGACAACTCTAACTACAGGAACACAACTTACCAGCATGTTTCCAAATGTCCACTGTACAACTCTAACTACAGGAACACAACTTATCAGCATGTTTCCAAATGTCCACTGTATAACTCTAACTACAGGAACACAACTTACCAGCATGTTTCCAAAAGTCCACTGTACAACTCTAACTACAGGAACACAACTTACCAGCATGTTTCTAAATGTCCACTGTACAACTCTAACTACAGGAACACAACTTACCAGCATGTTTCCAAATGTCCACTGTATAACTCTAACTACAGGAACACAACTTACCAGCATGTTTCCAAAAGTCCACTGTACAACTCTAACTACAGGAACACAACTTACCAGCATGTTTCCAAATGTCCACTGTACAACTCTAACTACAGGAACACAACTTACCAGCATGTTTCCAAATGTCCACTGTACAACTCTAACTACAGGAACACAACTTACCAGCATGTTTCCAAATGTCCACTGTACAACTCTAATTACAGGAACACAACTTACCAGCATGTTTCCAAAAGTCCACTGTACAACTCTAACTACAGGAACACAACTTACCAGCATGTTTCCAAATGTCCACTGTACAACTCTAACTACAGGAACACAACTTACCAGCATGTTTCCAAAAGTCCACTGTACAACTCTAACTACAGGAACAGAACTTACCAGCATGTTTCCAAAAGTCCACTGTACAACTCTAACTACAGGAACACAACTTACCAGCATGTTTCCAAAAGTCCACTGTACAACTCTAACTACAGGAACACAACTTACCAGCATGTTTCCAAAAGTCCACTGTACAACTCTAACTACAGGAACACAACTTACCAGCATGTTTCCAAAAGTCCACTGTACAACTCTGACTACAGGAACACAACTTACCAGCATGTTTCCAAAAGTCCACTGTACAACTCTGACTACAGGTACACAACTTACCAGCATGTTTCCAAAAGTCCACTGTACAACTCTAACTACAGGAACACAACTTACCAGCATGTTTCCAAAAGTCCACTGTATCTTCTTCAGGGTCCGCCACTGGTCTATGGTTCTGGTGGTGACACAGCCCCCGATCAAGTCAGCGTGTCCACCCATGTATTTGGTACTTAACATCGGAGAGGAACTCACGTTTATTCATTCACTTGGACATTTATAGGATATTGTCTCTCTTTCTTTCGTGCTTTCTTTCCCAAGTCCTCTCTTTCTTTCTTCGTTTCTGTCTGTCTGTCTATCTGTCTTTATTTCTTTATTTCCTCTCTTGTCCTTCTGGCCTTCGGTCTGTCAGTCATTCTTTCTTTCTTCCTTTCTATCTTTCTTTCTTTTTATTTTTTATTTTTCTCCTCCTTTCTTCTTCTTCTTCTTCTTCTTCTTCTTCTTCTTCTTCTTCTTCTTCTTCTTCTTCTTCTTCTTCTTCTTCTTCTTCTTCTTCTTCTTCTTCTTCTTCTTCTTCTTCTTCTTCTTCTTCTTCTTATTCTTCTTCTTCTTCTTCTTCTTCTTCTTCTTCTTCTTCTTCTTCTTCTTCTTCCTCTTCTTCTTCTTTGTCTGTGATTTATTCTCCTGGTTTCTGTCTGTCCATGCCTCTAGTGTTGAATCAAGCAGGTTTGGCGCCATCATCACACCTATGGTATTCGTAGGTATCCCATCAATCCCCTGTGTACAGTAGCCAGTTACCAAGAGTTTGGGGTCATAGGATCACAGAACTCGGGAAATCCTGTTATTGTTGTTGTTTTTGTTGTTGTTGATGATGATGATGATGATGTTTTCGTCGTCGTTTTCGTCGCCATTGTCATGATGAAGAGCAATACATGCCAACACATCACCAATTGTGTAAGGAGAAACAGGCGGGAATTAATTTACCTATACAGATAAAACATCATCTTTCGTTAACTATATAGATAAAACATCATCTTTCGTTAACTATATAGATAAAACATCATCTTTCGTTAACTATAAAGATAAAACATAATCTTTCGTTAACTATACAGATAAAACATGATATTTCGTTAACTATACAGATAAAACATGATATTTCGTTAACTTTTTAGGTGAAACATCTTTTTTTTTCGTCAACTATATAAATAAAACATCAACTCAACAGCTGTGTACGGAGAAATCTACCCCTAAAACATCCAACTCACCAGCTGTGTACGGAGAAATCTACCCCTAAAACATCCAACTCACCAGCTGTGTACGGAGAAATCTACCCCTAAAACATCCAACTCACCAGCTGTGTACGGAAAAATCTACCCCTAAAACATCCAACTCACCAGCTGTGTACGGAGAAATCTACCCCTAAAACATCCAACTCACCAGCTGTGTACGGAGAAGTCTACCCCTAAAACATCCAACTCACCAGCTGTGTACAGAGAAATCTACCGCTAAAACATCCAACTCACCAGCTGTGTACGGAGAAATCTACCCCTAAAACATCCAACTCACCAGCTGTGTATGGAGAAATCTACCCCTAAAACATCAACTCACCAGCTGTGTACGGAGAAATCTACCCCTAAAACATCAACTCACCAGCTGTGTACGGAGAAATCTACCCCTAAAACATCAACTCACCACATGTGTACGGAGAAATCTACCCCTAAAACATCCAACTCACCAGCTGTGTACGGAGAAATCTACCCCTAAAACATCCAACTCACCAGCTGTGTACGGAGAAGTCTACCCCTAAAACATCCAACTCACCAGCTGTGTACGGAGAAATCTACTCCTAAAACATCAACTCACCAGCTGTGTACGGAGAAATCTACCCCATGTGGAATACTGGGCTGCAGGACTGGACTTGCAAACGTTCCGTCGACCCCAAGGAGAATGTCTCTAGACCTGGCCAGGGCGCCAAACTGGGCAATGTCCACCACGACGATTTCTGGGTTACACGGCGTCTCAATCCAGATCATCTGGTGGAGACAGAACACGACACAGTCATCTGACAGAGACAGAACACGACACAGTCATCTAACGGAGACAGAACACGACAGTCATCTGGCAGAGACAGAACAAGGCACAGTCAACTGGCGGAGTCAGGACACGACACAGTCATCTGACTGAGACAGAACACGACACATTCATCAGACGGAGACAGAACACGACACAGTCATCTGACGGAGACAGAACACGACACAGTCATCTGACTGAGACAGAACACGACACAGTCATCAGACGGAGACAGAACACGACACAGTCATCTGACGGAGACAGAACACGACACAGTCAGATGGCAGAGACAGAACACGACACAGTCAGCTGGCAGAGACAGAACAAGGCACAGTCAACTGGCGGAGTCAGGACACGACACAGTCAGATGGCAGAGACAGAACACGACACAGTCAGCTGGCAGAGACAGAACAAGGCACAGTCAACTGGCGGAGTCAGGACACGACACAGTCAGATGGCAGAGACAGAACACGACACAGTCAGATGGCAGAGACAGAACACGACACAGTCAGATGGCAGAGACAGAACAAGGCACAGTCAGATGGCAGAGACAGAACACGACACAGTCATCAGACGGAGACAGAACACGACACAGTCATCTGATCTATCTATCTATCTATCTATCTATCTATCTATCTATCTATCTATCTATCTATCTATCTATCTATCTATCTATCTATCTATCTATCTATCTATCTATCTATCTATCTATCTATCTATCTATCTATCTATCTATCTATCTATCTATCTATCTATCGATCTATCTATCTATCGATCTATCTATCTATCGATCTATCGATCTATCTATCTATCTATCTATCTATCTATCTATCTATCTATCTATCTATCTATCTATCTATCTATCTATCTATCTATCTATCTATCTATCTATCTATCTATCTATCTATCTATCTATCTATCTATCTATCTATCTATCTATCTATCTATCTATCTATCTATCTATCTATCTATCTATCTATCTATCTATCTATCTATCTATCTATCTATCTATCTATCTATCTATCTATCTATCTATCTATCGATCGATCGATCGATCTATCGATCTATCGATCTATCGATCTATCTATCTATCTATCTATCTATCTATCTATCTATCTATCTATCTATCTATCTATCTATCTATCTATCTATCTATCTATCTATCTATCTATCTATCTATCTATCTATCTATCTATCTATCTATCTATCTATCTATCTATCTATCTATCTATCTATCTATCTATCTCTCTCTCTCTCTCTCTCTCTATCTATCTCTCTCTCTCTCTCTCTATCTCTCTCTCTCTCTCTCTCTATCTATCTATCTATCTATCTATCTATCTATCTATCTATCTATCTATCTATCTATCTATCTATCTATCTATCTATCTATCTATCTATCTATCTATCTATCTATCTATCTATCTATCTATCTAGCTGTCTGTCTGTCGATATTTGTTTGCAAGCACAGGCACCACTTTTATTCCACGCGGATGGACTAAGGTCATAACAAAAACCCAACCCCGGTTACGCCCTATAGGCCAACCCCTCCCTCCCTCCTTAGACACTTAGTGTACGCTGTTGGCGTCCAGCCCGTCCCTTTTTTTTTTTGCCCCTACCTGCGCGTTGGGGGTATATAGGCTGACCGTCGTTTCATTTGAACGAAGTTTTTTCGCCAGGGACACTAGATGAGTATCGTTAATTTTATACATTAGAGTCCTATGTAGTCACTTCATAGTTAGAGCCTATTTGTGTATGTGTACTGTGTTGTCCTTTATGTGCTGATGAAGGCTAATCACCGCAACGTCCTTTGTTTGTTTATTGTGTTTGATTTTGTAAAGCTAACATAAACTAATTGTTGTTTCTTACCAACTTTTTCTCTTCCCTATAATTTTCTACTCCTTATAAAAACCAGAACAGTAAGTACGTAGCAGTTCAGGAGGCAATGGTCATGAAACAACCAATTGTATGTGAACAATAGCAATATGAGATTGTTACTGAGTAACTAGAATGCCAATATATGAATGCATGTAACGGATTTCGGGTAATACGGTCGTGACCGTGCGGTAGACATCAACCGTAAATGGAAAAGCATTCGCCAGTTGTATGTTTGCCAATGAGACAATATGTTAACAGAAAAAAATTCCACAGACACGAATATGTAATGTGGGTATCAGCGGAGCAAGGTAGACCAAACCGAATCTGTATAAACAAAACGTTTTAGATCACCTCAAGGCTTTTAGAGGTGTAAAAGGTAAAGATAATCGCTTTAACTGGATGAAGAGAACCATAGTGTTGCCAGCTGATTTGGGTAAAGTATGATATTGTGTGAAGGGACAGTGGTATGTCAGTACTGTCTGTAAGTTACGGGGGAAGAGTGTCAACATGGTCCGAGTAATAAGAGGAGACCAGTGAAAATGTCTATTCATGTACAAGTGGTGCATGCACGAGAGAAAGTGGACCGGTGGGTTTCTGTGTGGGGGCTGAAAGCATGGATAACGAGATAAACAGAGAAAGTGTGAATTAAGTGACAGCGTGATTTTCAGGTAACATCAGCCACCCACATAAGTGTGATCCTCGAGAACGCCCACATGAGCGTGAGTCCCGAGAACACCCACAGGATCATGGTTTACGAGAACGCACATACGAGCGTGACTCTCGTGTAAGACATCATCCACCTACACGGATTTGACAGGGATAAATTGGGCTGCGTAGACGGTCCGGGGGAGTGAGCTGTAGCCTGAGGGCTAAAGCCCCTCGGGGGCCGTCGAGAAGCAGTCGAGAGAGAAGCGAGAAGAGAGAGAGAAAGCGAGAGTCAGAGACCAAGTCAGGGTCCGTGATATCTCTCGCAAGTCTAACAGACTAGAATACCGTACGACTATCAGGCATTTAGGTCTGAGTGAGTGTTGGGGTTGCGGTACTGAAAATATGGTCCCGCTGGCAAAGTAAGTCCAGGGGACGGAAGGTCAGTAGTACCTGGTTTCTGAGTACGGCAAGAGGAATCCGTCTCCAGTCAGCCGTGTTGTATGCTGAATTAATATCAAGGTCTAGTGAATGGGAGAAGTCGTCCAGTTCAGCTGTACGACGCGTCTAGAGTGTGGGACGCGGTAGTCCTTGGAGCTGTAGTAAAGGAGAGACCGCTACAAATTGAGAGATAGAGAGGAGTGAGGACAAATGGACGATGTGCTAATATCAGCTGTGATCAATAACTACGTCTCTGCATTTGTGTCATGTATCTTGTTAAATAAACATGTATGACGGTGTCATCGTCGTCGAGTTCTTTTTCTAAGAAAGGAAGCGGAAGAGTGCCTGCTAAGACACTTGGTAGTGTGCTGACTCAGTTAGCACACAACACATAGGCAACCAGTACAGGAATAAACAGGCAGGTGTTTGACTAGTCAACTCAGTACAGTAATGACCAAACTGTTAAACAATAACATAAATCTTAGACCTGAATTCGCTTTTCCGTTTTGGATTTATTGGCTTGGAAAAGTTCTATAAGAGACACAGAAATGGCATGATGAGACGCCGCAGACAAACAGGCAACATGTGACAGCTTGACACGCAGAGTTGTGGATATCTTAGACACATATGGATGTGGGAACCCCGTAGTGTAAGAGAGATAGTTATATATACACACACACATATGGATGTGGGAACCCCGTAGTGTAAGAGAGAGAGTTATATACACACACACACATATGGATGTGGGAACCCCGTAGTGTAAGAGAGATAGTCATATATATATATATATATATACACATATCTTCACTGTGCCCAAGTCTGTTTCTGTAAACAAGACCAAACAACACTGAGGCTTTCTAATTTCACATTTTAAACTCTAAAATTGGCCGCACGAAATTTCCCTTGTGTGTCCTGCTGGGGCAACACTGAATAGAGCCCTGAATAAAAATTAGAGCTGTCCAAAGTCGGAATGTAGCCTACAGGAAGCAAAGGTTTGTACAAAAATAAGGCAGATGTGTACAACAGATGTGCACGCACAACTCAGGTCCTGGATCAAGGAGAGAGTTCAGGAGTGGAAGAAAAATCACAACTTTCCGCCGGAGTTTAAAACCGGTGAACGCAGTGAGAAGCAGAAGGCAGATGAAGCGACAAGACTGCAGAGGTAGGATCTTACCTTGGTGTTGGGTCTGATCAGTGAGTCGACCACGTCCACGGTGACATCCTTGATCGGTGTGATCTCCACACCAAACTCGTCTCTCAACAGCTTCAGGGCGGTGATGGTGCTGGGGTAGCAGGGTAGCTGGTAAATCTGTGGGAGACCAGGGGTAGACACCACACCTGTATATTGTACTTTCCGTGTAGCTTCTACAGGGTCTATTGTTGTCTCAATTCCTAGGTAAGGTATCTATCTGTCTGCCTGCCTGTCTGCCTGTCTGCCTGCATGCCTGCCTGTCTGTTTGTCTGCCTGTCCGCCTGTCTTTTTGTCTGACTGCGTATCTGTCTGTTTGCTGTCTATCTATTTAACTATCTATGAATCTGTGAATGTGTCTGCAGAATACTATCTCAGCCGAGAAAATCATTGGTGTCAGAGACGCAGGTGGACACAGGGTAAATATGTGAAATGGATTGATGCAGTATAAACAAATAAAAACAACTGTACATTGACATATATGCGACTCACAGCTCCAAGAACTGTCTCACCCGGTGTGCATGATTTCTTTCAGACATCTCCGATGTCAACAACAAAGTGGCGAGGCAGGAGACAATCAGAGCGGCAACATATCCACAATACATGGACGTGGATGACTGTCAGCTCCGTGTAGCGATGACATGTGATGGCGATCTCGTATTATTGTTAATATTATTATTATTATTCACTATCATCATCGTCGTCATCATCCTCTTCTGCTCCAATCGCCTTAAAAGGATGGTGAGCTGGTTGTTTGCAGTCAGAGAACGATATCTGAACTTTTCAACCGAAAACATTCCATTTCAGCAAACCCTTAATTGTTCGCCTTTTACGACATGCTTGTGAAGTGGTTCTGAGTCGTGGAATCCGCACTGGCAACGCGTATGCCCGATAGAGCCAATCGTGGGGTTCCAGAAAAATTATCTGGAATATGACACCGGCGAACTTTCATAAGCAGGTGACCTTGAACTGGGTTCTAACCCTTTCTTTTCACCTTTCAAATAACGCGCTAGCTGACGAGTCGGTTCCATCTCCAGTACACGATGTTATTATATTATGAGATGAAATGACTAGCTCTGAATCAGATCTACGAGAATTTTCCTTTACCCAGAAAACTCTAGACTTAGCTTAGCATTGTGTACAAGAGACGGTATGCAGGAAAACGACAGGAAGATGAAGGGGCACATACCACGTGATCTCCACTCTTGAGGAAGCCGAGAAAGCAGGAGGTCACGGCGGCCATGCCACTGCTAAAGGTCAGACTTCCTGCTCCCCGCTCGATGGCGCTGATGGCGGCTTCCGTGGACTCGGTGGAGAGGTTGGAGTTCCGCGAGTAGATGGATCCTCCCTGGGGAGTTGAGCTGTGCGTTATTTGATGTCATGTGTGTAGTTGTATGTTCTGATGTGTGTTACTGGATGTCATGTGTGTTGTATGTTTTAATGTGCTTCACTTGAAGTCATGTGTGTTGTATGTTTTAATGTGCTTCACTTGAAGTCATGTGTGTTGTATGTTTTAATGTGCTTCACTTGAAGTCATGTGTGTTGTATGTTTTAATGTGCTTCACTTGAAGTCATGTGTGTTGTATGTTTTAATGTGCTTCACTTGAAGTCATGTGTGTTGTATGTTTTAATGTGCGTCATTTGAAGTCATGTGTGTTGTTGTATGTTCTGATGTGCGTAACTGGATGCCATGTGTGTAGTTGTATGTTCTGATGTGCGTAACTGGATGCCATGTGTGTAGTTGTATGTTCTGATGTGCGTAACTGGATGCCATGTGTGTAGTTGTATGTTCTGATGTGTGTTACTGGATGTCATGTGTGTTGTATGTTTTAATGTGTTTCACTTGAAGTCATGTGTGTTGTATGTTTTAATGTGCGTCACTTGCAGTCGTGTGTGTTATTGTGTGTTTAAATGTGCGTCATTGCATGTAACATATGTCATTATATGTTATAATGTGTGTCTTTAGGCTTAAGATGTGTCTACATGTGTTATAACGTGCGTAATGAGATGTTATATTGTACGTCATCAGATGTTATTAATGACATCATCAGATGTTATACAGTACGTCATCAGATGTTATTAATGTCATCATCAGATGTTATACAGTACGTCATCAGATGCTATACAGTACGTCATCAGATGTTATTAATGACATCATCAGATGTTATACAGTACGTCATCAGATGCTATACAGTACGTCATCAGATGTTATTAATGACGTCATCAAATATTATACAGTACGTCATCAGATGTTATTAATGACATCATCAGATGTTATACAGTACGTCATCAGATGTTATAGAGTACGTCATCAGATGTTATACAGTACGTCATCAGATGCTATAAATGACGTCATTAGATTTTATACAGCACGTCATCAGATGCTATAAATTACGTCATTAGATTTTATACAGCACGTCATCAGATATGATAATAAACGTTTTCAGATGCTGTGTGGAGCTCGGTAGTTAAACAGTCAACATCCGTGCTCTTGTGTTCGACAATGTCCAGTAGCTGTAGTGTCAGTAGTAGCAGCAGCAGTATACAGTAGTAGCTGTTGTCGTTGTTGTCGCATTAGTTGTGTTTGCAGTAGTTGTTGTTGTTGGTGTTGTTTTTATTCTGTAGTAGTTGTTGTTATTGTAGCAGCACTGGTAGTCGTTCTTGTTTTTTTTTTTTTTTTTTTTTTTTGGTAGTAGTATTGATTGTTGTTGTCATCGTTGTTGCAGCAGAAGCAGCAGTAGTAGTAGTAGTGGTGGTAGTAGTAGTTAGTAGTAGCAGCAGCAGCAGCAGCAGAGGTAATGGTTATTGCCTTTTGTTGAATGTTGTTGTTCCTGTTATAGCAGTAGAGAAATATAAAAGGTAGAAGGAAAAAAGAGCTAGAACAAAAATAATGTTAAATAAACTAACCAGCTAAAGCAAAAGCTGTGGACATAAGAAACGGAGGCTGGAGACAAGGAAGATAGCAGACAGATTTTCATGAAAATACGCGGGGGGGGGGGGGGAAAGGGGCTACAGCACAAAGGAGAATTTTCTAATAAAAAGGAACGATAAAGGGAGGTGGGGGAGCGGCGGGAGCAGACAAAGACTGACGAGTGGGCGAATACTGACATGAGGAAGGAAGAGAAGAGTACAAGCTGACAATACAACATTAGTAGAGGCAAGAAGATCAGTGCAACAATATTGACAAATACCGACATTAGTAGAGACAAGATCAAGGCAAAAATGTTGACAAATACATCACTAGTATAGACAACAAGATCAGTGCAACAATGTTGACAAACACTAACATTAGTAGAGACAACAAGATCAGTGCAACAATGTTGACAAACACTAACATTAATAGAGACAACAAGATCAGTGCAACAATGTTGACAAACACTAACATTAATAGAGACAACAAGATCAGTGCAACAATGTTGACAAACACTAACATTAGTAGAGACAACAAGATCAGTGCAACAATGTTGACAAACACTAACATTAGTAGAGACAACAAGATCAGTGCAATAATGTTGACAAACACTAACATTAGTAGAGACAACAAGATCAGTGCAATAATGTTGACAAACACTAACATTAGTAGAGACAAGATCAGTGCCATAATGTTGACAAACACTAACATTAGTAGAGACAACAAGATCAGTGCAATAATGTTGACAAACACTAACATTAGTAGAGACAACAAGATCAGTGCAACAATGTTGACAAACACTAACATTAGTAGAGACAACAAGATCAGTGCAATAATGTTGACAAACACTAACATTAGTAGAGACAACAAGATCAAGGCAACAATGTTGACAAACACTAACATTAGTAGAGACAACAAGATCAGTGCAATAATGTTGACAAACACTAACATTAGTAGAGACAACAAGATCAGTGCAATAATGTTGACAAACACTAACATTAGTAGAGACAAGATCAGTGCCATAATGTTGACAAACACTAACATTAGTAACATATGTCATTATATGTTATAATGTGTGTCTTTAGGCTTAAGATGTGTCTACATGTGTTATAACGTGCGTAATGAGATGTTATATTGTACGTCATCAGATGTTATTAATGACATCATCAGATGTTATACAGTACGTCATCAGATGTTATTAATGACATCATCAGATGTTATACAGTACGTCATCAGATGCTATACAGTACGTCATCAGATGTTATTAATGACATCATCAGATGTTATACAGTACGTCATCAGATGCTATACAGTACGTCATCAGATGTTATTAATGACGTCATCAAATATTATACAGTACGTCATCAGATGTTATTAATGACATCATCAGATGTTATACAGTACGTCATCAGATGTTATAGAGTACGTCATCAGATGTTATACAGTACGTCATCAGATGCTATAAATGACGTCATTAGATTTTATACAGCACGTCATCAGATGCTATAAATTACGTCATTAGATTTTATACAGCACGTCATCAGATATGATAATAAACGTTTTCAGATGCTGTGTGGAGCTCGGTAGTTAAACAGTCAACATCCGTGCTCTTGTGTTCGACAATGTCCAGTAGCTGTAGTGTCAGTAGTAGCAGCAGCAGTATACAGTAGTAGCTGTTGTCGTTGTTGTCGCATTAGTTGTGTTTGCAGTAGTTGTTGTTGTTGGTGTTGTTTTTATTCTGTAGTAGTTGTTGTTATTGTAGCAGCACTGGTAGTCGTTCTTGGTTTTTTTTTTTTTTTTTGGTAGTAGTATTGATTGTTGTTGTCATCGTTGTTGCAGCAGAAGCAGCAGTAGTAGTAGTAGTGGTGGTAGTAGTAGTTAGTAGTAGCAGCAGCAGCAGCAGCAGAGGTAATGGTTATTGCCTTTTGTTGAATGTTGTTGTTCCTGTTATAGCAGTAGAGAAATATAAAAGGTAGAAGGAAAAAAGAGCTAGAACAAAAATAATGTTAAATAAACTAACCAGCTAAAGCAAAAGCTGTGGACATAAGAAACGGAGGCTGGAGACAAGGAAGATAGCAGATTTTCATGAAAATACGCGGGGGGGGGGGGGGAAGGGGCTACAGCACAAAGGAGAATTTTCTAATAAAAAGGAACGATAAAGGGAGGTGGGGGAGCGGCGGGAGCAGACAAAGACTGACGAGTGGGCGAATACTGACATGAGGAAGGAAGAGAAGAGTACAAGCTGACAATACAACATTAGTAGAGGCAAGAAGATCAGTGCAACAATATTGACAAATACCGACATTAGTAGAGACAAGATCAAGGCAAAAATGTTGACAAATACATCACTAGTATAGACAACAAGATCAGTGCAACAATGTTGACAAACACTAACATTAGTAGAGACAACAAGATCAGTGCAACAATGTTGACAAACACTAACATTAATAGAGACAACAAGATCAGTGCAACAATGTTGACAAACACTAACATTAATAGAGACAACAAGATCAGTGCAACAATGTTGACAAACACTAACATTAGTAGAGACAACAAGATCAGTGCAACAATGTTGACAAACACTAACATTAGTAGAGACAACAAGATCAGTGCAATAATGTTGACAAACACTAACATTAGTAGAGACAACAAGATCAGTGCAACAATGTTGACAAACACTAACATTAGTAGAGACAAGATCAGTGCCATAATGTTGACAAACACTAACATTAGTAGAGACAACAAGATCAGTGCAATAATGTTGACAAACACTAACATTAGTAGAGACAACAAGATCAGTGCAACAATGTTGACAAACACTAACATTAGTAGAGACAACAAGATCAGTGCAATAATGTTGACAAACACTAACATTAGTAGAGACAACAAGATCAGTGCAACAATGTTGACAAACACTAACATTAGTAGAGACAACAAGATCAGTGCAATAATGTTGACAAACACTAACATTAGTAGAGACAACAAGATCAGTGCAACAATGTTGACAAACACTAACATTAGTAGCGACAACAAGATCAGTGCAACAATGTTGACAAACACTAACATTAGTAGAGACAACAAGATCAGTGCAACAATGTTGACAAACACTAACATTAATAGAGACAACAAGATCAGTGCAACAATGTTGACAAACACTAACATTAGTAGAGACAACAAGATCAGTGCAATAATGTTGACAAACACTAACATTAGTAGAGACAACAAGATCAGTGCAATAATGTTGACAAACACTAACATTAGTAGAGACAAGATCAGTGCCATAATGTTGACAAAACACTAACATTAGTAGAGAGACAACAAGATCAGTGCAATAATGTTGACAAACACTAACATTAGTAGAGACAACAAGATCAGTGCAACAATGTTGACAAACACTAACATTAGTAGAGACAACAAGATCAGTGCAATAATGTTGACAAACACTAACATTAGTAGAGACAACAAGATCAAGGCAACAATGTTGACAAACACTAACATTAGTAGAGACAACAAGATCAGTGCAATAATGTTGACAAATACTAACATTAGTAGAGACAACAAGATCAGTGCAATAATGTTGACAAACACTAACATTAGTAGAGACAACAAGATCAGTGCAATAATTTTGACAAACACTAACATTAGTAGAGACAACAAGATCAGTGCAACAATGTTGACAAACACTAACATTAGTAGAGACAACAAGATCAGTGCAATAATGTTGACAAACACTAACATTAGTAGAGACAACAAGATCAGTGCAATAATGTTGACAAACACTAACATTAGTAGAGACAAGATCAGTGCCATAATGTTGACAAACACTAACATTAGTAGAGACAACAAGATCAGTGCAATAATGTTGACAAACACTAACATTAGTAGAGACAACAAGATCAGTGCAACAATGTTGACAAACACTAACATTAGTAGAGACAACAAGATCAGTGCAACAATGTTGACAAACACTAACATTAGTAGAGACAACAAGATCAGTGCAATAATGTTGACAAACACTAACATTAGTAGAGACAACAAGATCAGTGTAACAATGTTGACAAACACTAACATTAGTAGCGACAACAAGATCAGTGCAACAATGTTGACAAACACTAACATTAGTAGAGACAACAAGATCAGTGCAACAATGTTGACAAACACTAACATTAATAGAGACAACAAGATCAGTGCAACAATGTTGACAACACTAACATTAGTAGAGACAACAAGATCAGTGCAAACAATGTTGACAAACACTAACATTAGTAGAGACAACAAGATCAGTGCAATAATGTTGACAAACACTAACATTAGTAGAGACAACAAGATCAGTGCAATAATGTTGACAAACACTAACATTAGTAGAGACAAGATCAGTGCCATAATGTTGACAAACACTAACATTAGTAGAGACAACAAGATCAGTGCAATAATGTTGACAAACACTAACATTAGTAGAGACAACAAGATCAGTGCAACAATGTTGACAAACACTAACATTAGTAGAGACAACAAGATCAGTGCAACAATGTTGACAAACACTAACATTAGTAGAGACAACAAGATCAGTGCAATAATGTTGACAAATACCGACATTAGTAGAGACAAGATCAAGGCAACAATGTTGGCAAATACACCATTAGTAGAGGCAAGAAGATCAGTGCAACAATAATGACAAATACCAACATTAGTAAATAAAACTAGATCAAGGCAACAATGTTGGCAAATACACCATTACTAGAGTAAACAAGATCAGTGCCACAACGTTGAAAAATACACCATTAGTAGAGACAACTAGATCAGTGCAACAATGTTGACAAACACTAACATTAGTAGAGACAACAAGATCAGTGCAACAATGTTGACAAACACTAACATAAGTAGAGACAAGATCAGTGCCATAATGTTGACAAACACTAACATTAGTAGAGACAACAAGATCAGTGCAATAATGTTGACAAACACTAACATTAGTAGAGACAACAAGATCAGTGCAACAATGTTGACAAACACTAACATTAGTAGAGACAACAAGATCAGTGCAACAATGTTGACAAACACTAACATTAGTAGAGACAACAAGATCAGTGCAATAATGTTGACAAACACTAACATTAGTAGAGACAACAAGATCAGTGCAACAATGTTGACAAACACTAACATTAGTATCGACAACAAGATCAGTGCAACAATGTTGACAAACACTAACATTAGTAGCGACAACAAGATCAGTGCAACAATGTTGACAAACACTAACATTAGTAGAGACAACAAGATCAGTGCAACAATGTTGACAAACACTAACATTAGTAGAGACAACAAGATCAGTGCAACAATGTTGACAAACACTAACATTAGTAGAGACAACAAGATCAGTGCAACAATGTTGACAAACACTAACATTAGTAGAGACAACAAGATCAGTGCAATAATGTTGACAAACACTAACATTAGTAGAGACAACAAGATCAGTGCAATAATGTTGACAAACACTAACATTAGTAGAGACAAGATCAGTGCCATAATGTTGACAAACACTAACATTAGTAGAGACAACAAGATCAGTGCAATAATGTTGACAAACACTAACATTAGTAGAGACAACAAGATCAGTGCAATAATGTTGACAAAACACTAACATTAGTAGAGACAACAAGATCAGTGCAACAATGTTGACAAAACACTAACATTAGTAGAGACAACAAGATCAGTGCAACAATGTTGACAAACACTAACATTAATAGAGACAACAAGATCAGTGCAACAATGTTGACAAAACACTAACATTAGTAGAGACAACAAGATCAGTGCAACAATGTTGACAAAACACTAACATTAGTAGAGACAACAAGATCAGTGCAATAATGTTGACAAACACTAACATTAGTAGAGACAACAAGATCAGTGCAATAATGTTGACAAACACTAACATTAGTAGAGACAAGATCAGTGCCATAATGTTGACAAACACTAACATTAGTAGAGACAACAAGATCAGTGCAATAATGTTGACAAACACTAACATTAGTATAGACAACAAGATCAGTGCAACAATGTTGACAAACACTAACATTAGTAGAGACAACAAGATCAGTGCAATAATGTTGACAAACACTAACATTAGTATAGACAACAAGATCAAGGCAACAATGTTGACAAACACTCACATTAGTAGAGACAACAAGATCAGTGCAATAATGTTGACAAACACTAACATTAGTAGAGACAACAAGATCAAGGCAACAATGTTGACAAACACTAACATTAGTAGAGACAACAAGATCAGTGCAATAATGTTGACAAATACTAACATTAGTAGAGACAACAAGATCAGTGCAATAATGTTGACAAACACTAACATTAGTAGAGACAACAAGATCAGTGCAATAATGTTGACAAACACTAAGTTTAGTAGAGACAACAAGATCAGTGCAACGATGTTGACAAACACTAAATTTAGTAGAGACAACAAGATCAAGGCAACAATGTTGACAAACACTAGCGTAGTAGAGACAACAAGATCAGTGCAACAATGTTGACAAACACTAACATTAGTCAGTCCCTGGAAACAGTCCTCCAACTTCTCCATGACGTAAGTAGACGAGTGGTAGATGGGAGGTACCAAAGGCTGTGTCACGGTGCCCTTAAATATCAGCCTGGCTGAGGTGGCAGCCGTGGTCGGGTGGACATCCTGGTAGCCCAGGCCGTTGACCTGGAGGTCATAGTTGTTCCTTGCCGGGACCTCACGGACGCTGTGTTTACTGTGGGGACATGGTTGGGCATGTTAGGGTGCGTGTCTCTCCTTATGAGAACGACAACAACAACAACGATTATAGGTTTATAAAGATTGTCTCGCCATGACATCAAAGCGGAAATGTTTCTAGATTCGTGAAGATTCACTTCATCATGGCCACGACCCGGGTGACGATACCAGTGTGTGACAGCCGATATGTGAGTCGACATATAAACATACGTGTACACATAAACATCAGTCGCAGATGACAGAACGGAAAGAAAGAATAAACTGATGGCCGTGTGTGATGTATAACGGCAAACACAGGATGATGATGATGATAATGATGAGGTTAATAAATAAATTATCTTTCTCAAACGCGCGACTAGTGTCACAATCAACTCAAACACAGGTTTCTACCCTTTTTGTCATGTAGAACCCCCCCCCCCCCCCTCCTCCCCCCGAGCATATGGCAAGACAAAAACACCGCAACCCTTCCCCCAAACACCCAACTTTGAGAAAATTTCAGACACACACGCACACGCACGCACGCACGCACGCACACACACACACACACACACACACACACACACACACACACACACACACACACACAACAAGACCATGTTTACACATTACAAGACAAGGTTTTCACACAAAAGACAAGATTTTCACATAACAAGACAAGTTTTACACCTAACAAGACAAGGTTTATACCCAACAAGACAAGGTTTTCACATAACAAGATAAGGTTTATACATAACAAGACAAGGTTCACACGTAACAAGACAAGGTTTACACATAACAAGACAAGGTTTACACGTAACAAGGCATGTTTTACACCTAACAAGACAAGGTTTACACATAAGACAAGGTTTACATACACATAACAAAACAAGTTTTACACCTAACAAGACAAGGTTTTCACACAAAAGACAAGATTTTCACATAACAAGACAAGGTTTAAACCTAACAAGACAAGGTTTTCACACAAAAGACAAGATTTTCACATAACAAGACAAGGTTTACACATAACAAGACAAGGTTTAAACCTAACAAGACAAGGTTTATACATTAGAAGACAAGGTTTACACATAACAAGACAAGGTTTATACATAACAAGACAAGGTTTACACATAACAAGACAAGGTTTACACGTAACAAGACAAGGTTTACACATAACAAGACAAGGTTTACACGTAACAAGACATGTTTTACACCTAACAAGTCAAGGTTTACACATAAGACAAGGTTTACATACACATAACAAGACAAGGTTTACACATAACAAGATAAGGTTTTCACATAACATAATAAGGTTTACACATAACAAGACAACGTTCACACGTAACAAGACAGGGTTTACACAAAACAAGACAAGGTTCACACGTAATAAGACAAGGTTTACATATAACAAGACAAGGTTTACACATAAAAAGACAAGGTTTACACATAACAAGACAAGGTTTACACATAACAAGACAAGGTTTACATATAAAAAGACAAGGTTTACACATAAAAAGACAAGGTTTACACATAACAAGACAAGGTTTACACATAACAAGACAAGGTTTACACATAACAAGACAGGGTTTACACATAACAAGACAAGGTTTACACATAACAAGACAGTGTTTACACATAACAAGACAAGGTTTACACATAACAAGACAGGGTTTACACATAACAAGACAAGGTTTACACATAACAAGACAGGGTTTACACATAACAAGACAAGGTTTACACATAACAAGACAAGGTTTACACATAACAAGACAAGGTTTACACATAACAAGACAAGGTTTACACATAACAAGACAAGGTTTACACATAACAAGACAAGGTTTACACATAACAAGACAGGGTTTACACATAACAAGACAAGGTTTACACATAACAAGACAGGGTTTACACATAACAAGACAAGGTTTACACATAACAAGACAGGGTTTACACATAACAAGACAAGGTTTACACATAACAAGACAGGGTTTACACATAACAAGATATCTGACCTCATGGTGGAGCCAGGGCAGCAGAGAATAGACACTTGTAGACTGTGTCAGATATTAGTCGAGACTAGAACGATTTCCCTTGCTGCACTAATTACGGTAAAACATATGTCACTGGTACATCTCGTGAAGTATATGTTGTCTTTGTGAAATGTATGAATTTATGTATGTATGTATGTATGTATGTATGTATGTATGTATGTATGTATGTATGTATGTATGTATGTATGTATGTATGTATGTATGTATGTATGTATGTATGTATGTATGTATGTATGTATGTATGTATGTATGTGTGTGTGTGTGTGTGTGTGTGTGTGTATGTATGTGTGTGTGTGTGTATGTATGTATGTATGTATGTATGTAGGTAGGTAGATAGGTAGGTAGGTAGGTAGGTGTGTGTGTGTGTGTGTGTGTGTGTGTGTGTGTGTGTGTGTGTGTGATACTAACATAGTACAGTAAAGGATCCTCCAACATCTTCTGACAGATTAGGCAGTTAGGGCTAGAGGTAAATATGATTGTCCACGTCTGGCAAGTCTATGATCATGTTGAATGTTTGGACAATCCGGGTCAAGCTCCCATTTCAAATCTTTATTTCATACGAGGCACATAGGGCTCATCCTATATTGCTACTGACCAGTGGTTACTTGGTGGGGGATGTGGTCAGTGACATGTCGATTGCTTTTAAAGCCAAGCTTATAAATGAATGAATGAATGAATGAATGAATGAATGAATGAATGAATGAATGAATGAATGAATGAATGAATGGATGAATTGATATCACTGCACTTGGACCATTCCCACATGTGATCTGTCCCTATCTTCAGAACCCAGCAAAGATTCGACATGCTAATAGTACTAGTTGCAACCTGATTAAAAGATCGCCTATGCTTCCCCTAAGTGTTAAATATCTTCCAGACACTGCTGAACGAATCTGCTAGTGTAGAGATAGACTCAGTCTATTCTGTTTTACTGTCCATGTGATCCTGTAGAGATAGACTCAGTCTATTCTGTTTTACTGTCCATGTGATCCTGTAGAGATAGACTCAGTCTATTCTGTTTTACTGTCCATGTGATCCTGTAGAGATATACTCAGTCTATTCTGTTTTACTGTCCATGTGATCCTGTAGAGCCTTCCCCACATCCACTTTATCATCAGGTAGCTCACCGCCAAGAGGAGTCGCAGCAGCTAATCTGTCAACCTGCTCATTACCTGGCACACACTGATATTCTGGATAGAAAATATATGATACGCTCTTGATCTGAGTCTTGTCAAGTGATGCCAGACACTATAGGGGCAGGACACTCTGGGTGCAGGACACTCTGGGTGCATGACACTCTGGGTGCAGGACACTCTGGGTGCAGGACACTCTGGGTGCAGGACACTCTGGGTGCAGGACACTCTGGGTGCAGGACACTCTGGGTGCAGGACACTCTGGGTGCAGGACACTCTTGATGCAGGACACTCTTGGTGCAGGACACTCTTGGTGCAGGACACTCTTGGTGCAGGACACTCTGGGTGCAGGACACTCTGGGTGCAGGACACTCTTGGTGCAGGACACTCTTGGTGCAGGACACTCTTGGTGCAGGACACTCTGGGTGCAGGACACTCTGGGTGCAGGACACCAGTTTCCGAAGCTTGCTCTGTAAGTCTGTTACAGTTACCAGCCCATGTTGTTTGCTGCTACCAGTTTCAGTCTGGTCACGCAAGTGCGTCATCAGAAACAGAGCCATAAAGTTTGGGACCTGAGAACACCGTGGTTACAAACTTGTTGGACCTGAGAACACCGTGGCTACAAACTTGTTGGACCTGAGAACACCGTGGCTACAAACTTGTTGGACCTGAGAACACCGTGGCTACAAACTTGTTGGACCTGAAAACACCGCGGCTACAAACTTGTTGGACCTGAGAGCACCGTGGCTACAAACTTGTTGGACCTGAAGCACCGTGGCTACAAACTTGTTGGACCTGAGAACACCGTGGCTATAAACTTGTTGGACCTGAAAAAACCGTGGCTTCAAACTTGTTGGACCTGAGAACACCCAGGCTACAAACTTGTTGGTAGAACTTCAGACAGTTACAAACATATGCAGATGTCTGGGGCCGAACGTGCCCGAATTAAAACCTGGCTGCTTCCTCTAGTCACGTGACCACACACAGCTGCCATGGCACGTCAGATAACCCAGTTTTCTCCGTCAGCAACTGGATGCAAGTCACGTTTACTGGTCGATGTGTTGAACTGGCATCACTACCTGGCACCTCCCATGAGTGTTGTGTGCAAATGTATGTATGTGGGTGCGCATGTTGTATGGTGTGTGTGTGCATGTACGTATGAATGTGTGTCTCCGTTGATGTGTTTGTCTCATTACATGCTATTGTTATGACAATGAACAGACCAAGGAATGCTTGGAAGCTACGGAGACCTCGCCTCTGACCAGAACTCTGCCTCTGTCTTCCATAGTCAGTCATCATAGCCCTTTCTACAAACCCTGTCTAACTTTAATAATCTGCAACACAGAAACGGTTCGGTGTCAGTGGAACTGTGACAGCCAGCATGGCAATATGTCCCTGTAAGCATTTGTTTCGTGTGTAAAGAAGCATCCAGTTTTGATTGTGACAGACACCGATTCAAAGCCAAACAATCAGCATGCTTGTAGAGTGAGTGCAACGTGTCGAAACATCGACTTGCACGCCTTTCATAGACATTTCATTCTCAGGGGGTCACCTCTAGCATTGGCCTTCAGTGAGTTAGGTGCACATTTTTTATTGTTTGTGGGATAGACTATCATATATAAACTAGGAGATCGACTGACTATTCTTCTGTTGTATCAGGAGACAAGATATAAACTAGGCGATAGACTAACAGTATTCTTTTGTTGTATCAGGAGACAAGATATAAACAAGAAGATAGACTGACAGTATTCTTTTGTTGTATCAGGAGACAAGATATAAACTAGGCGATAGACTAACAGTATTCTTTTGTTGTATCAGGAGACAAGATATAA